GCCCCTTCAGTCTGGCTGGACTTGTTGCTTTGACTAACAGAATGCAGTCAAAGTGATACTTTGTCTATTCTATTCTAGGCCTAGAACTTCTGAGGCCTTGCTGCTTCTGTGTTTGTCCTTTTGAAAGTTTGGCCTAGACTACTAAACGATGAGAGAGCACGTGGAGAAAGAGGACAAGTGGAGGAGGACCAAGGTGTCCCAGCAACAGGTGGTACCAAGGTCCTAGACATGTGGACCTACCAGCTGCACCAAAACCACTCCAGCAGATATTATATAGAACACAGGTAAGCCCTCCCCAAAGTTCTGGTACACAGAATTTTGAGCAAAAAAATTATTGCTGTTTTATGTCACTAGGTCTGCAGATGATCTGTTATGAAGCGATAACGAAAAGACATACCTTATGGTTCCCCCCACCAAGTGGCTCCAAAAAGGCTACATGCCTGGGTTTCTATACCCTCTCTCTGTGCTATCTTCCAATACTTATTCCTGGGTCTCACTCAATTTTATTCCAAGGCACAAACTACACATCTTATATAAAATGCCCTTAACAACATGGGAGAGCACATTATGCCACTAACTGAGGGGACATACACTTAAGACTTGTGTGATGGCTTGTTTCAAGCAAGAGGACATATGCTATCAAATGCCTGTTGGGGGACAGATTGAAATGATGCTGTTAGACAGCACTTCTTCCTGTGGTGTTTCAGGATTTTGCACAGCTTCTGACAACAAAGTTAGAAAAGTAGTCACTCAAGAGATTTGTGTGTGTGTGTTTATGTTTCTAGAAAATTATAGCCAAGCCAAGCTTTCTCATAGCTCAGTTGGTAGAGAATCTGCCTGCAATGCAGAATATCCAGGTTCAATCCCTGGGTTGGGAAGATCCCCTGGGGAAGGAAATGGCAGCTCACTCCAGTGGTCTTGCCTAGAGAATCCCATAGACAAAAGAGCCTGGCAGGCTACAGTCAGTGGGGTCGCAAGAGATTGACATGACTTAGCAACTAAACCACCACCACCAAGGGAATGCTCATTAAATACTGTTAACTAACATCTTCATATTGTGAATTTTAAAGAAAGATGACAATATTTATCTGAGGACATAAACAAGGTCTGTTGATGAATAAATGAAATTCCCTTGGCAGTAAATTCATCCAAAGCATTGTCTCCAAAGCTGAGGGCTCTCAGAGCATGAGTTCCTGTGAGGTGAACATCACAGGCTTCCAAAGGAGACTAACACAGCATCTGCTGACTTTATACCAGACCAGGCCTGAAGCAACATTTGAAAAGGAGTCAAACTGCCTTATTCTAAGATGTTTTTATCAGAAAGACAAGCCTGATGAATGTTAAAGACTTTCTCCCCAGAATCATGTACAAACACAGGTTGTGCACATAGCTTCGGCCCATCACAGACCCCAGGTTAAAAACCTCCATCAAAGTGGCACGGGAGATCCCTCAGGGCTGGAGACACACACTCCACTGTAGCCTTCATCCCAAGAATGTTTCCACTGACACTCCTGCACTGGTTCCCACAGGAACATAAATCTCACTGTGATTCATCCCACTCTCTGGCAGAAACTAATGAAAAAGAACATATAATAAAGCACTGCAATGCTCTTTTAATATGTGCCTCACCAGATACACAGTAGAGAGGAACATAATTTATAATCCAACAAACCAGATGAGTATTTGCACCAGTTCCTGCCCATATACTTACAGGCCTGGCCCTGCATTTCATATTTCATTTCTATTTCTGCTTTTTGCACTCAAGTCAAGCAGGATGGCACTTGTTGACAAAAGTTTCAATAATGTTATTAGCAGTATCCAATCTTTTTCCTATCATGTTACTTTTTAATGTTTCCTGGCTTTGAAGGCCCAAAGACACCAAAAACTGTTACAGTTCAAAACCTACTAGATGCTGCCTGCTATAAGCTCAGACATGAAACATAATCAAAGTACTTACTCCTTAGAGTTCTGTCTCAATATTTAATATTATTTATTTGAGAAAATATTATGTTTAAAAAGTATTATTTTGAGCAAGCAGGCGCATGCGATACTCGTAGATGTATTTATGCTCTATCTTCAGAGAAATCTGTTCAGACTGCTGAAAAAAATAGTTTACAGTTAGTGATACTCCTTGTTAGATTCCTGGCTAAGACCTTCACATAAATCACCCTATCTCACCCCCACAACAAACCAACTAAAGGGATGTGGCCCACTGGCTGATTGTTCATCAAACTTCTTTCCCTTTGCTTTGCAAGGTTAGGGGCTTTCCCAGTCTTCCTTGCAGTTAGAGGTGGCCACATGACTGAGTTCTGACCAATGGAAAGTGGAAGAGAATAAGGAAAGCATCTTCTAGGTTTGACCCACAGAATCTTACCCAATCTTCCATGCCCTCTCATTTCCCTCACCAACTGGCTGATTGCAGAGATCTGCAGAGCAGAAGGCAAAACTACAAAAGAGAAGGAACCTGGATTGCTGAATCACTGTGTAGGATCCAACCAACAGAATACCCACAGTGAACTGGTATGTGAGGAAGACAGAGATTACTATTGTCCTGAGTTACTGATTTGGGGGGTTATTTGTCATAGCAGTCACACTGTACTGAAAGTATTTTCATGAGCATAGAGAGGTTGAGTAATCTGTTCATGGTCACACAGCTGACAAGAGGTAACAGATTTACATCCAAGTGGTTTGCTTTTAGAAATCATGTTATTAACTTGTTTAGAAACATGTTATTCAATTATATTTCCTTTTTGCAAGTTCGTTTTAATCATACAGAACATAATCATCTATACCTGACTTTATATATGAAGGAAGTGGCTGGACAAAGTCCAAAGGTTGAGACAGAGAGAAGATAATTTCTTCAAGTAAGTTATCTGACCTCAGATCTCTTTATTAACCATATAAGAAAAAACCTATGTTGTCTACACAATTTTCCAGGATACCTCAATTACTCCGTGAAAGTCTATATTCAGAGGTTCTTTAGTAGTTACTAACGCTGTGTAACAACTTACCCCTCCCCTCAACTTAGTGACTTAAAATACTTAATAACTCTCCCACTTTCAATGGGTCAGGAATTCAGGAGAGGCTTAGCTCAGTGGCCTCTTATGAGGCTGTACTCAAGGTGTTGGTTGGGGCCACATCATCTGAAAGCATGACCAGGGCTGGAGGAGTCACTTCCAAAATAACAGGCTCACATGGCTGGCATGCTGGTCTGGTTGTTGGCAGGCAGCCTCACTTTCTTCCCAATGGGCTGTGTGACCATCCTCAAAACATGGTGGCTTGCTTCCCCCAGAGTGAGAAAATCCAGACCACAGCAAATGCTACCAGGTCTTAGGACTGGTCTCCAAAGTCAAGTCCGTTACCATCACAATTTTTTATTATCAATTCCTACTGATCACATTGGGATCCGTGTTGATCCCTTATTCACAGTTGGAAGAGAACACACAAGGGGGTGAATACCAGGAAACAAGGGTTACCGGGAGCCGGTCTGGAGGTCAGCTACCATCCATTCACCCAACACTCATGTACTAAGCACATACTTAAGAACAAAATAGCCTATATTTGTCTGCTTTCATGATACATATGTTCTAGAAGAGGTCAGAAAGGTAACAGATGTAATCAACAAGTAAATGATATACAGTATACTAGAAAGTGGTAAGTGCTGTGGAGAGAGAGAAAGCACCCTCAAGGGCAGGGGGAGTGCTGGAGTTGGGGCTGTCCACAGTTTCACAGAGAGATATGGGTGGCCCTCACTCAGGCTTGAAGGAGGAAGAGTGTTCCAGGCACCACAAACAGCAGTTGCAGAGGCCTTGAGGTATAAGTGTGTGCTGTGGGCAAGAAACAGTGAGGCAGGCAAGGTGGCTGTAGGCAGGAGCTGGAGGAGAGGGCTATAGGAGATGACATGACGCAAGTAGCAGAGGGGAGAGCAGAGACCGTGGAGGACATTCCAGGCTCCTGTAAGAGCTCTGAGTTTCACTCTGAAATGTGAAGCCACTGGACAGTTCTTAGCAGACAACGGATATGCTATAATCTAACACTAAAAACATCTCATTCTGGTGGCTGACATCAGAACAGACAGGCCAATGGTAGATGCAAGGAAACAAATTAGGAGGTTCCTATAAATCCAGACAAGAGCTGATGATGACATATGGTATTGTGCTGTCAGTGCAGGTGGTTACTGGTCAGGTGCTAGATTCATCTGGCAGGTAATCTAGCACAATTAATTCACCATTCAAGTAAAGGTTTTATTTAGGATTTCATTATATCTCAGCACCTTGGACTGTCAAATGGTGCCCTAGGGGGTCTTGTGGATGCCGAGAAGATTCATAGGGATTTGCTACCAGAAACTGAGGTGGGACCAAGGGGTGCATGCAGCTTTCTGTCCCCTTAGCCCAGATTTTAAGGGCAGCTCTGTTGACATACATCATTATGCAGGGGTGAGGGCAACCCTCTTAATACAGGCTAGAAACTTCAGTGCCCTAAAGGAAAAAAACTGAGCATGCACCGAGCCATATACACAGTGTAAAACAATACAGCATTTGTAAAATTATAAGGAAACTATGTTGGGAAAAATATTTGCAATGCACATGAAAATTGTTTACTATCCCTAATATTTAAAAACTCAAAAATTCATAGCACAAAAAAGTAAAAAAAATGGCTAAAAGGCATTTTCAAAATGAGGCTCCAAGTAGTACCTCCTTCACCAGATAGTTGTGAGGTTAAAAGGACAACATATATAAAGTGCTTAGCACAGTTCCTATTACAAAAGAAATGCTCATTATGTTGCCCACTGCTACCACCACCACAATCACCACCGTTGTCACTGCTGCCATCCCAAGATGACTATCACCACCACATCACCACCACCATCAGCAACTTCGTCACTGTCACCACAGTGTAAGAGCCACTGGCAAGGCAAACCTGAGTCAGCCCCGTAGACCAGTTCTAACGCAGCTCTCCCCAGGTAAATTCTCCACTTGCAATGACGAACAATACATTACCTTTTCATGATTTTCTATTAGGATCTCGATGACTATGTTCTGAAACTTGATATCCATTATGGCTGCTACAGTTTCTTCCTGAGGACGCAGCAGGGTGGGTCCAAATACCACGCCGAGGTTTGCCACTGTCATCAAATTCTGCTTGTGGTTGTTAGCAACACTAAGAGGAAGCAAAAGAAATGGCACAAATCAGAGAAATAGTAAATGACAGACAACTGACTTCCTATACCCGTCTCATCTTCAGACACCTGATCTGGTAGGAGCCAGACCTACAGGCATGTTCAGATGCTGCTGGAGTCCAAAGAGAGACTTTTTTACTCACAGTTTCATCTACCAAAGTTTCAGAAATCTCCAGTGTTAGGCTATTTTGCTATTTCATGATATGACACTCTTTATAATTCCCATTTTGCCTTAAAAAAAACCAGTAACCAACCAACCAACCAAAATGGCTTGCCTTCCAAATGTGAACCTTTGCACATTTGAATCCTTGTTCTGTAAACCCAGGTTAACTGGTAATCCCTCTTAGTTACAACTTTTATCCTTGGCTGCTGCTTAAACCACTGTGATTATTAGCTTTTTCTCTAGTGCAAATATAAAAACTCCTGACGGCTTTAATACATTTGCAAACACAGGCTCAAAATAGATCTAATTTTTTAAATGAGTAGATCTCAGTCAGGAAATTCAGCACTTTAGGCTCAAAGTATTTAAGTCCCATCACATCAGACACGTGGCTTGTATTAAGCCAAACACGTGGCATGAACAGAAATAAAAACACACTACTTACATCCACGTATATAGCTGTTTATATTATCACTTATACTCAAAATCCAAGAAGCACACAGGGCCAGGAGTAACAGGTCTGAGTAAGCTTCTAAACACATATGCATATTTTTGTATAATCAATTAACCAAAACATGTATCTGAAATCCACACCCAGGCCACCATGACCTAGTCATAAAACTTCATTGTTCATTTGCTAGCCTCACGTATAAAAATATACAAAGTTATCTATTGACAACAAGTTAAGTTAAAAGTTAAGACCATTCAATATTGTTAAGAAAATATTAGGGGCTTCCTTAAATCACCTGTTGGAAGAAGGAAACTATTCATTACTAGAAACTAGAGAGAAATTGGGCAGAGGTGGCAGTTTGCACAGACATACCTCCCTAGCATTTAGTGCTATTTATACAGAGGTTTTTAAAATTTTTTTCCCCCATACAATTCTATAAATGTTTGCACTGTTTCTCTTGGATACTTCTATTTTGTAGGTGGAAAAAGAGATTTGACTGCTTTAAGTGCTGGTTTTGAAACTGAGCCTTTACTGAATACTATATTAACTGATTTTATCACCAGAAACGTATTTTTCTTTCATTTTCTAGGGCTAAAAGTCTAATTTCATAAAAAAAAAAAAACAAAAAACTCTTCTGAAAGAGATGGTTACATCTGTGAAACCTGAACTGTGGAACAGCCCAATCAAGAAGGGAATTTGCTTTTTTATTGCTAAGTAACACCTGTAGCAAGATTCTGCCACTGATGCCTTGTCCTGTTTATAAGACTATTTTCATTTCTTGAGATCTAGCTCAATTTCCTGATATTACTTATAGTTTTCCATTCTACCTAGAACTGTATCAGGTTTCTAGTCTAAAAGTGTTAAAGCAGATGGTCAAGGTTTTACCTAGCAAAGGGGAAAAGATTTGGTTCTGGGTCTCAGAATCACCATGTCTGCATATTTACAAGTTGCTTGTAACACCACTACTTTCAACATCAGCTCCTTTGTGCGGGAAGTGAATTCCATGCTCTTAAATTTCCCCTGCCAAATGAGCCAAGTCAGTAGACTTACCCTCTTGTCACAAAAGTCCCTTGTGTATATGAATCAACAAGCTATTTATTTATGAAAGCACTTTTAAATTGTAGACCAATATAAAAATATAGGGTTTGGATAATGATCACTTTCACCATCACGCTTTTTAACACGGCATCTGACTAAAGCAACTGCGTCTTAACAGGGCTCCCAGACTAGACTCTCTGGGTTCAGCTGCGTCCTGCCTGCCCCCACCAGCTTCTGTCTGCCAATTCAGCATCGCTCAAGTCAGTCCTCTGTTGAAAACTACAATGGCTTCACACCTCATTTGGTCGCTGGGAAAGAACACAGTGACACAGTGTATGTGTATAACACAGTGTATGTTCAGGAATGCTTCCACGGTTGGAATGTTCTGATAATGGTGACTGTAAACCGTTGACGGGCTCCATTGTTTCTAATGTCAAACTCCTATGATCTAGCACAGATTTTTCCAACTCACTTCTAAGCCTTCTGCCTCCTCCCAGATCTGATCCCTGGAAAAGGGACTTAAATGTTTAAGCTTTGGGTTCCTCATCTTTTAAAAATAGGGTGAGTTTCATTTCTAATCTACTTCATGAGGTTGCTATGAAGATTAAATGGATATAATGTGGGAAGTGCAGTGATGATGATTCTATTAATCATTCACTACCCATCTTCTGTCTACTTTTATACCTATCTGCCTTTGTCAATCCTCGCCCTAGAATGTCCTCTTACCCTTCCTTCCTTTGCTTGGCAAACTGCTCATCTGCAAGGCACAGTTCCAATGGTGCCCTTTCTTTCCGAAGTCTCTGACTAGTCTCTTCCCAACCCTCCACGGCTTGATGAGGCAGGCGTGTTGGCCCTGGATTTATTACAAGTTATTAGTGTCTCAACTGTTGCCTTAGGATAGAGACTGTTTTTATTTTAGTTGGTAACACCAGTGCTGACAGCAGTGCCTGGCTCAGGAGAAACACAACAAATGTTCACTGTGGTGTTAAAAGATGATGGGAGCTTCTGAATAGACATTAAACAATTATTCGCAACTCAGCTACTAACTTGGAAAACCTCAAATTATTACTGATGATTTTGGGGAAATGTATCTCAACTTTTCAAAGTGTGGAACTGTGTTCCACTCTTTAGATTTAATTAATGAGCAATAATTACTCTGATTTGCAGAGCCCAGTGACCCAAAGGCATTTGGGAAAAAGGTATGGCAACTGAATAAGCATTTGTTAATATAAATAAGCTTGAGGCTACCTAACATCATTCATTTCCTTTTTAATGATCCATTTTATTTTAGAACTTACAACACACTGATCTAAATTATAAACTTTTGGGGGAAAAGGCTGCACCTTTTACAACTAACTACCATTATCTTCTGGTACACTGAAGCAACAAATTGATCTATCACTTGGTTATTACTGCTCACAACTAGGTATAGCTATGTTCATTCCTCAAGAATGAATTATTAATGGCTGGAGATCACTCTGCATCCCAGAAAGAAAGGCACAGACCTCAGCTTCTGCTGGCACCAGCCATCCATTACAGCTTGATGCATTTACCTGTGTGTGGGAGGTGGGCTGGCAGAGTGCTGGGGAGCCTGGTCCAGTTGAGGCCACGGGACTCATTCATTAGTGAGGTCTATAAAACATGGAGAACTTGCTTTCTGGGCTGGTAACTGAGGTGTTTGAGCTCTTCCTCACAGACCAGAATGTCATGTTGAGTCTTGACTTAAAATTCACACAGAAAAGTCTCTTTTGCATGACTGCACATCCCACCAAGGAAGTCTTTGATAGGTCTTGCCTAGGTCCACAGGGACTCCTTTGTGAGCCTTCTTACATTACTGCCAGTTCTACAGACTTCCTTTGCAGGCAGCAGAGAAACAGTTCCACATGTGATTTTAACCTAGGAAAGGCCTGCTTCCTTTTGTGACCCATAAGAGTTTGCCACAATAGCTGAAAACAGGGCATCTCCTGAGGGACATGATTTCAGGGCAGTTGGTGGGGGTCGACACCCCATGTTCCCTGTAGTTCCCTCAGGAATTATGGTTAATGAGGGAAGAGCATGTTCCAAGGAACATGACCATGGCAAAGGGGCCTCTTGCTACCTTTGCTTCCAGGGAAAATGGATGAGGGCTCTGGATTGGTCTGACATCCTTTGAGAGGCAGAAGATTACTACCAGATGAAGATGGTGATGGGGGAGTATTAGGAAGAGAGAAAAAGGAGCCAGCTCTTTTGGGGCCAGAAACGCAGAGACGCCCATGCTGTCTTAAGGATCACATCTGTTTTTCTAGCGTTTAAATGAGAGCCAGAGCTCTGGAAGTGCTGAGTGGTACTTTATAACTACAGACTGGTTCTGATGTACCAACAATACCTAAGCCTGCTGCTAGGGTTGCAAACAGGTTTCATCTTGAGGCTTGCAGTGCTGTGTCATGAAGTATCAAAGCTGCAACCTGGCTCCACAGGACACAATATGTTGACAGAGTAGCACTATCTGCGATGGACCAGGTGGGTGGAGGTTACAGCACAGCAACACTATCTGCCATGCTTGATTTGTTTGCTTCAGCTTCCAGTGTTAAGAAATGATAACTTAGACTTGTAAGGTGCTTCAGAGTTCACAAGGAGCTCTGCAACACATTTTTAAGTTTGCTTGAACTTCATATAATATGTCTAGAACAGTAGCTCTCCAACCTTCTGACAAGGACCCATGGTAGGAAATAGATTTTTCCATGTAACATTTCACTAGCACATACATACGGATATGTACACAGAGAGAGGTACACACACATCCATACGTGCCTATCAGAAACACAGGTTTCAGAAATAGTGTGATAAATCCTGCTAATTTTGATTCTATTCATTTTTATATCTACTAAATTAATTTCACAATTCACTAACGTGTCATGACTTACAGTTTGAAAAGCTTCCTTCTATAGGTAAAGAGTACAAATATTATGTACAATTTATAAATACAGAGAAATAAAGGCCAAGGGAGACAGTACAGTACAGGGGAGTCAGACAGAGATTCCCAGCAGGATGAGAGTAGGCAGGTCACTGGGCTTCTCTAAATCCCTTTCTTCACCTGTAAAACATGAGCAACAATATCTACTTCATAAAATTTGTTGTTGTTCAGTCACTAAGTCATGTCCAACTCTTTGTTTAAGGCCGATAAAGTAAAACTAGGTGAGTTGATCTCTTGGGTTTAAATAATGGCTTAATAAATGACAGCTGGTATTGTCCACAGGGGCCGTCAAGACAGTGGAGGTGACAATGTGGAAGCAGCAGCAAGTGCCAATTTAAAGTCACACGGTAAGTTGGTGGTGTCACCTGGTGTCATGTTC